CTTTGAAAGAGATGTGGAAAGAAACCTGCACAACAGTATTAGGAAGGAAGAAGAAAGAAGACTGGACAGGGAATGGATCTCGACGGATACCTGGAAGCTGATAGAGGAGGGAGAGGAGGATGGTGAAGCAGAAGATAAACCAGTGCAAGGATGCTCAACAACAAGAGGAACTGAGCACAATGTATAAAACACTGGACAAAGAAGTAAAGAAGAGTGCACGCAAAGACAAAAGACACTTCTACGAAACACTGGCAAGTGAAGCAGAACAGGCTGCAGGTAAGAGAGACCTGACGACATTGTATCAAATAACCAGGTTGCTATCTGGGAAGAGATCAACGCAGACGAAGCCAATAAAAGATGGTGACGGAAATCTAATTACGAAAGAAGAGAAACAAAGGAAACAATGGGCCGGCCACTTCAAGAAGCTCTTGAATCAACCACCACCACCACCTGCACTTCGTCCAGAAATACCACCTGCAGGCCAGCCGCTGAATTACAAGTGAACATTAATCCCCCAACGAAAATGGAAGTCCTGAACGCCATAAAGCTACTGAAATGCGGGAAAGCAGCAGGACCAGATGTAATACCGCCAGAAGCACTGAGAACAGATGCAGAGACAACAGCGGACATGCTCACACCACTATTGCAGAAGGTGTGGAAGGAAGAGAAGGTACCTGACGATTGGAAGAAGGGTTACCTTGTCAAACTGCCGAAGAAGGGAGACCTCAGTGCTTGCAAGAACTGGCGCGGAATCACTCTCCTGTCCACCCAGAGCAAGTAAAATATTAAGCCGCATCATCCTGGAGAGGCTTAAAGACGCACTGGATTCAAAACTGCGACCGGAACAGGCAGGCTTCAGGAAGTACAAATCATGTGCAGACCAAATTGCAACGCTTCGTATCATCATAGAACAGAGCATAGAATGGCAATCAGCTCTCTACCTCAACTTCATCGACTTTGAGAAGGCCTTTGACAGCGTCGACCGAGAAGTAATTTGGAAACTGCTTCAATACTACGGAGTACCGTCAACTCTTCTCCGCCTCATTCAACAACTATATGAAGATGCCACATGCCAGCCAAGTAATTCACAATGGGAAGCTCAGTGATGATTTTGAAGTGAAGACAGGAGTGAAACAAGGTTGCCTACTATCCCCCATGATATTCCTTATTGTGGTGGACTGGATCATGCAGCAAACAGTAGGCAGCGAGAAGAGGGGGATACACTGGACGACGGAAAAGAACCTACAAGACTTGGATTTCGCCGATGACTTATGCCTAATGTCACACAAACTTGAAGATCTGCAGGCAAAAACTAACAAGTTGATAGAAGAGGCAGCTAAGACGGGACTTCAGGTGAATATAGAGAAGACAGAGGTGATGAAGATACCCAACCAACAACACCACCAACAACAACAACAAACTCCAGTCACCATCAACGGGAGAAACTTAAAGGAAGTAACCTCCTTCACCTATCTAGGAAGCACTGTTTCAACTACAGGCGGGACAGACGAGGATGTCAAAGTCAGAATCGGAAAAGCAAGACAGGCCTTCATTAGCCTGAAATCAGTGTGGAGATCTTCTGCACTCAGCATGCGGAACAAGATACGGATTTTCAACACCAACGTCAAGTCAGTGCTTGTGTATGGTTCAGAGACTTGGCGCGTCACGAAAAGCATTTCCAACAAACTACAGACATTCATCAACAACTGCCTCCTACGCTGGCTCGTTACTGAAGCTCAGATGGCAAGAAAGAATAAGCAACAAGGAACTCTGGGAACGAACCAACCAAGAACCTATCACCCAACAAATATGCAGGAGGAAGTGGAGATGGATTGGGCATACACTGAGATGGCCGACTGGGGACATTACGCGCCAGGCCATGCCATGCCATCGAGTGGAACCCAAAGGGGAAACGACGAGTTGGGTGTCCGAGGGTGACATGGAGGAGATCGTGTGAAGAAGAAACGAGAGCTTCTGGGCTGTCGTGGAGCCAGGTTGAAAAGATTGCAGAGAAGAGAGTGGAATGGAGATGTGCTACTGAATCCCTATGTTCCACTAGGAACCCAAGGGACTAATAATAAATAATAACAATAATAATAATAATAATAATAATAATAATAATAATAATAATAAGTGTCTACGTTTGATATCCAAACAGCTTGTAACCTCTCGGTTATCCTTTGTACAGTGAACAACATATTTTTGTCAGCTGACTACTAGTGGTTGAAAAACTACACATAAATGAAATAATAATGTATGAAGCAATCTTACATAAAAGACAGGTATACAATACCAGCCTTCTCTTTGGATAGTCCCATGATAACACTAAGACGATAAAAATTTAAACGAACATCTATTTTCAGTTACACTTATATGTTCTGTCTGAATGGTAATTCTAACTCACTGAAATTTTACTTTGCTGTTGTCTACACGTTAACTTATCTAGCCAATGGTTATCTAATATTCTGTTTCCTCTTACTATCAATGATTACCTTTGCACTTTACAACCATCCTCTTTCTGAACAGTTAAAGGTGGTTTTATTTTTATTATAACTTCTTATTACAAGTTATCTATGTGAAAGATGCAATGTACAATATTTTCGTATTGAAAGGTTGATCACGCTTTACGAATATTAACATAAATATGTATCAGCTCCGTTTATTTTCTTTGTCTTACATTATTTAAAGTCTGTGGGGTAATATGGAAGACCGAACATCATTGGTGCTTCGTGACAAAAAGTACGTTCATATGTTTTTGAATATGTAAAAGAATCACTTGTAAATATACTTCAGAGTATGAACAAACGTGTAAATATTCTACTTGCGATGGCGGCGAAAAGAGAAGAGAATTCTATGGTAAGACAGGAGAAGCATTCACATATAGTTAAAGGAATATTTTTCCTTTGATAACCTTTGCATAACCGAATCGATAGCTCATCAGTTGCTGGATCCCTTCAATTCGGACTGATCTGGATTAAGATTAGAATAGTCGGCTGAGTAGGCAGTATGAACAGATGATGATGAATAGACAAAACCCCCATAAGTTTAAACAGAACTAAGAGTTAGTTGGAATTCAGGCCTCATAGTTCACTTGATGGAATTCCACCTCCTTATTCATTCATTTAATTCTACAGAAGATTACTGACGGATTACTTCACTCGTCAGTTGTGCAGTTTCATGAATTCATTTAATGTAAATGACCTTACGTGTTAGGATAGACATTTAATAAGTTACATTAATCAGTCATTGAATTAAATCGATCAATTGGCAGTGTGTTTATCAAGCTAGAAGACATCCCATTGTAGTCCACTCTGGTTTTAACTGGTTAAAGATAGTCTCCAGGAGGCAGTTTTAGAATTATTCGTAACTGTTATGGTGTAAACTGTCTTTTTTCACAATAAAGCAGTTTTCCTACACATGAAAACCAATATATTATGGGCCTCTACCAGATCAAATGACCCTAAAAGCACCAAACAATAGTTTGGTATAGTAATCCTTGTTTCTTATTGACTTGAGTAGTTTTTAAATATTTACGTCATTCTGTGGCATATTTCACAGGGTTATGATGTTGTTGTGGTTGGTGACTCCACAAAACTGACAAACTATAGGTTACTAAATATTTAGTATCAGGTAGCGAGCTCGGTTTTAGTTGATTGACGAACTTGAGTGTATACGTCTGAGTAACCATCCTATGAAGTTGCGTTATGTTGTCCGGTCACACTCTTTAACCCTATTCAATCGAAACAGTTTTTCAGATACACTTTTTTGGTCCGAGAGCCAATCTGTTATTATGTCTTTGGTTTTCAAGTCGTCAGTAGATTGTAAAAATTCTTCCTTGAATGCCATCTAGCAAGAATAAAAGTCCTCTAGATTTTGAGTGATTCCATGGGAAGGACCTACATTAAAAATAACCAGAATACCATTCACATAATTCTTTGTCCAATTACTTATTAGCATGATACTTCATAATTTCGTACAGCATTGTAGAACAACTCAGCGTCTAAAAACTTAGTTACCAATGTGCATGTTTGCTATTCAAAATACTTATTTCTTTGTTCATTGTTCATTTTCAGTTAATTCTTTAACACGAACAATAAAAAGAACGGAAAAAGATTCACAATTATACAAAATCAAATACTGAACCAAACATCACACCGAAGTTAAGAGCAAGTGTAGAATAAACACGAAGAATTTACTTCTTATCCTTTACAACTGTTAAGAGCACGAACAATAAATTTTATATAGTCGATTCGCCCATCTACTTAATCTATTTTTAAGTAGGTAAAAGCGTATTCTGGAAAATGTATGAACTAGTTTACAATGAACAATAACACCTCATCATAAAGATAAAATATAATATGATCTGTTTGTTTTATTTGCTTGATTTAAAACAATACATGTAAACACTTAGAATTGGTTTGTGATATCATTTATTTGTACAAACTTTGTGTATCATATTACCAAGGTACTGTTTATGCTGACAGTTAGCATGTTGTTATCAAGTGTGTTTCTGGGGGCAGGGGCAAAAGGTATAATGTATAGTAAAGACAGAACATTTACAAATTTTGACCTGTATCACTAGATTTCTATAGACAAGTCGGCACTTTCATTTTCAGTGGTGAACTTTTTATTCCTGAGTACTGCGCAAGCATAATTTGTAAGCTGATTGTCACACAATCAACATACTAATTTTACACATGTTTCATAATGGAACGGATAATTCTTTGCAATGAAAAAGGGTATTAGTACCATTTTTATTGATAGTTTTATTAATGACAGTATAAAAATGCAAACAATGAAATTGATAGGATGTAAACGTTACATATCAGTGTTAACAGACGCACTGTGTAATTGACTATATCCTATTTTATTGTTTACAAGAGATAACTGCTTTGAAATTTCGAATTTTACCTGAAACATATTCGTTTATGCGAACGTTGTAAACTTTACATGTCAAGAAATAGTGTATTTTGTTTTTTGTTCCTTTCTGTAGCATACTATCAATTATAATTATAATTATTATTATGTTTCATTATCATGTAACTTTTCGGTAATGGATTATAAAAGCAAACACTATATTCTGGAAAACAACGACAACGATAACTACGTTTGCTTTTATCACTTTTTGATGGAATTACACTCATAAAATACCGATCATTACATTTTAATTGTTGACACAACTCCAGACATATTTTAGCTGTTTCAACGACACACATAAAATATCCAGTGGCTGAAATTAAAAGGAAACAAGAAAGATAAATGTTTTGAATAGAGAGAATGCTAATTATAATAATTTACACTTTTTTTCAGCACAAATTATAATTTGATTGTTAAAGAATAGAAATTTTAAAAAGTTTGAAAAACGAGTGTCCTTGAATAACCAATCATATGTTCAGATGATTATCCAATACGATTTCACCCATTTATAGTATATGTAAGAATTTCATGTTATTTGATCGCATTTATAGTCGACTAAAGATACCTGTCATGAGTGAGGAGGATATTCATTAGACCTGGAGAGGAAACTAAAAATGTTTCCCTCAAGATGTACACAAAAATTACTTCATATATCACTACTGCGCTACACAGTAGATTTTGGAACATAGAATTCTGATTGGTCATCTAATCTGCGTCTATCTACCTTAAGTTTCTGTTTGCTTATAACATCAACTAGTATTTTAATAAATAAAAACAATAATTATACAATCTGATAGTTACCTGGGGTGATAGCGTTTAAGGCAAATGTATTTTATGAAGATTAATCCTATCTGCTTTCATGAACTGTATACATGAACATGATAGGATATGAAAACCAACAACTGAAATCACGTTTACTCAAGAATTCATATCTAGGAGATTAATATAATCACTGCAGAAAACAGTACTTGAAAATTTTGTATGCAATATAAAGTACCTAAATGTGGTTCGCACAAAGAAATCCATCACCTATGGTTATCATCTTACTGAATGATCATGCTACTTCAAAATACAATTTGCCTACAAAAATCAGTTGCCAGATAGGTAGAGATTATAACACGAGATTATTATTATTATTTAGTGTCATTCTTTGTGAATACCAACTGCACAGATTACCTTTTGAACGTACTAAGAAGTAATAATTAGAAAAAAACTAATCAATATTCTAGATATTGTTGTACTAATATATTGTAGTTGTCATCAAGTGTATAAACAGACAAACAAACACAGATTAAAAAGAAATCAATGACTTTTGTTACAGATTGATAGGCAAACAAAATACACTTTAAAAATTCCTTCAGCAAAAAGTACCTCAGTCTGAGATATTTGTCCTTACTTCATCATAACTTCATGATGCCGATATATGCCAATAGTCTCTCGTATAACAATGGATCTCCGCGTCAGAAGAAGAAGATAAAACGAAAATATTGATCCAAGAGTTTCTATAAATCGAGTTTCTTAAAATAATCAGAAATAAATCAATTCTAAACGACCAACCAATAATAGAACGGCAAATAATCTTACTTGGTTTAAATGAAATATTGAATTGATACCTAATGAGATCTTGTCGAATAAATCTGACCAGATATACAGTGTGAAGTGAGATGAAAAGTTTATTAAAGTGAGCCTTTTCAAATAAGACAATATACTGTTGTCAAGTGGTTCAATCAAATCTGCTCGGAGTGCTGAGACTGGTTTTCGAGATTATTTACACTCAGCAGAAAGGATAATTAGTAAGTTTAAAGGTACTGATTTCCTCTCTCAAAGACCTGTTGAAAAATTTGCCACTGAGTAGAAAATATCTACTAGTAAGAGTGAAACACACACACCATTTGGTTAGTTTGTAGTGGCTAATTAAGTAAAAGCAGTTATTCAGATGTGAATATAACAATGGCTATGACGTAAGTTGAAATTTTTTTGAATTCTTTAGCTTTGATGACTATTTCTCACAGCTTCATGGTTTCATAAGTCGCACTACTGTTGGGTAAACTAGTCACGTAGGAAGCTATAATAATATTCCTTTAGCAGCGAAAATTGAGTAAGATGTTAGAAGGACTGCGGGTATCCAGTATGTTGCTATGTCAGCTTTATGCAACGTGGTTGAGTTTAGTAGTTGTTACTTCGTACGAATAAATATATAAAAAATAGTACAACAAATAAAGATATTAACCTGAAACCAGTGTGGAGATCTTCTGAACTCAGCATAAAGCGTGAACAACATCCAAAAGTAATTCAGTCAAGTCAGTGCTTGTGTATGGCTCAGAGACTTGGCGCGTTACGAAAAGCATTTCCAACAAACTACAGACATTCATCAACAACTGCCTCCTACGCTGGCTCGTTACTGAAGCTCAGATGGCAAGAAAGAATAAGCAACAAGGAACTCTGGGAACGAACCAACCAAGAACCTATCACCCAACAAATATGCAGGAGGAAGTGGAGATGGATTGGGCATACACTGAGATGGCCGACTGGGGACATTACGCGCCAGGCCATGCCATGCCATCGAGTGGAACCCAAAGGGGAAACGACGAGTTGGGTGTCCGAGGGTGACATGGAGGAGATCGTGTGAAGAAGAAACGAGAGCTTCTGGGCTGTCGTGGAGCCAGGTTGAAAAGATTGCAGAGAAGAGAGTGGAATGGAGATGTGCTACTGAATCCCTATGTTCCACTGGAAACCCAAGGCACAAACAATAAATAATCAATCAAAATTACACTCAAGATTACTCATTTCACACACTTTTTTAATAAAATAATAACCAGTAAGGTCAGTCACGCCACATACATGACAATATGCCAGATACCTATAGTCTACTGGAGATTACTTATCTCTTTTAAATTAGTGCCAGAATTATGTCGAACAATAACTTTCTAAATTTGGTACAAATGTACTATCACAGGGAAATTGATGCAAATCTGTTCTGAAAATTAGTTAAAACTTTGGAGATGAGAAAGAAATACATATTAAGTACTCTCAGTTAATAACTCAAAGTGAATAGCCTTCTGTTAGCATCGTCATCCAATAGGATAAAATTATCTGTGTAAAAAATATACTGAAGGGCAGAGGAGAAAGAAACACAGATGGAGTGATAAGATACATGACGTTTCAATGAAAACTAGAAGTGAGTAATTTTAAACTTTCTAATTTACAATATCAGTGTTATATGAACTGGAACTATTTTTCACCTTATCCTTTAAAAACTAAAATGAATAAATAAATATCTATGCAAACAATAAAAGAGTATTATTATCATTAGTGTTTGGTATACAGTTTAACTAGATATCATACAACTCAATATGAATTCAGTCATTACAATAAGAGTTAATGGTTTAATTTCAGTCTACTGAAATAAACTACTTAATATCATGTGTAATTAGGAACCAGTCTTACTGATATGCAGAATTCGCTAGCTAGATCAAAGTGATCTATTTGAGTTCATGTAAGGTTTGCATACAGTGAACCACTGGCTATTTTTTTTATTTATTATGTCTAAAGTTTATGAAATCATTCAAATTGAGTATTTCAACCAGAAATTTATTAATCTACTGTAATTAATAATGATAAATATTTTAGACTTTTAAGTCACGCTATTATATAAAATTACTTGAACCTGTCAAGAAATAATTGAAACACTAGTCAATGAAAACATAAGAATTTGGCAAAAATAAAGGAATCTAATTTCTGCATAGACAAATACAGACAAAAAGGTTTATAAGAAATGTGTAAATAAAACAAAGTGAACTGATAGAAGTAGGAAATATTGATCATTAAATTCCGACCCAGTGTCTCAATCGTGACATGATGGCCATCGGACTTTGAAGCTCCTGAGTTCGATCCCTGGTGGGGTCATGAGTGCGCTCTGCTGAGAGGCTCCATACTAGAACGAAACAACTTTCCACTGTTTCCAGGTTTCCACTGTTTCTTCAACCGATGTCAGTCCATGATGAAGACCAACTTGAAAACAAAGTCTCTCAAATTTCTAGAGGTAATAGAGGGAAATCTTTAAATGCTGACAGTTTTTTTTGTAGGTGTGTCTATGAATTGAGATTCGTTACTGAATTTTAAACTAAGGATATATAACACTTGCTATCTTAGTTGGTGATCCGAAGCACTTCTGTGGAAGGTCCTAAATTAATGTATTTATCTATCTATAACATAACTGTCACTAAGTGATTTCAGGATTGTGATCTGCAGTCAGAATGATTGAGCATTAGTGAGTAAAGTCAGATACAAACAGTCATTTCCCACGTTAGGTCACAAAAAGAAAGGAATCTAAGAAGAAAATTTCCTTCCTAACGAGCTCATTTTGAAAGGTTATACAGTCGTAATTACACTTAATCAGTCGGACAGTAGTTGAGTATTATCAAAACTGCTTATACAACAGGAAAATTCATCTGAAAGGGGGATGAAAGCACGGAAACTAGAAATAAAAGGTGTTACACAAGGGTGTGAAAAGGGATCACTATAACAACAAAAGAAATCGAAAAACATACATAGAAAGGGACATAAGGTAACGTGCAAATAGTTTTATAAAAAGGCAATGACTACTCTGTCCATAATGTTTTAAAAGAAAAAGATAAGCTTTGCAATTATGAATTAATAATGATTCCATCATTTATACCGGGCGTAATCATAGTTCTGTGAGACTACATGGAAGGACTCTGTGCACTACACCCAAGAAACTAATTGGAGGGGTCAGATGTTCAGAGACGACAATGTGCTCTAGAATGAAGGTTTTTGATACTCAAGTTTTCTCCTCTAAACACACAAGTTGGACCACCTTCCAAGATTCGTCTACGGAATCGGTACTGTGTACAATCAATGTACTTTGCTATACAAGAACAAATTAACTGCTAGGTTTACACTGAGTTGAACAAACGCTTTATTCTTCAGTTAAAAAAACTGAGTAACTAATAGTCTACAGTAGAATATGATTCTCGGGTCAGATGCATGAAATGTCTATCCCAAAGTTTTTGTGAGGTGATCTCTGAGGATTTCAGTCACCGCATTGACCTCTAATTTAAGTTTTATATAGAGGGTTTTCTGTGACACCGATGGTAAATATGGTTTTTGTGGGGTTTTTTTTACGTTGGAGCCGACGAAACTGAATGAGTATCTGTTTTGTAATTGCTTGTCATATAGAAATTGTAACTAGCTGTTTAGTGTCTCCTCATAATAGATCTTCAGAAACCTCGAACAAAACATATGTATAAGCTTTTGTTTGCCATTTAGTAGAGCATAACTTTGAAGTTAAGG